AAAAAATAAAAAAGTTAAATTAAATGCTTTTAGATATTTTTTATGGAAGCGATGTGTGCTTTATAGTAACACACTCAAAAAATGTTAGTACACACAGCAGCGTGTACTGATTTCCTCTTTTTTTCTATGTTTGTCACACTTAAAGGTTTCAGATCATCAAACACATTTAACACACGTCAACAGTTTTTCACGCATGGACATGTAGGCCCGGACACGCCCCCTCCCTTAATCATAAACACCTTCATTTCGAAACTTTGTTGCATTTTGAGTTTACTTGTGTTATCTTTTTCTAATATTTGGTGATCTGAAGCATTATAGTGTGGCAAACATTTTAAAAAAAGAGGAAATCGGGGAGGGGGCGAACAGCTTTTCACACCACTTTGTTCGAAACAGAACGTGTTGATATGAACTGATATGAATTTTATACAGTTCTCCGGATCTATTTCTCCACTGGGGTACATGATGATGATTTGTGCTGAGTCTGCACAATAAAAGGTGGATTTGTATGAACTCTGTATGTATGAACTACTTTCAGTTTGCTTGTTGTCCAGGTACATGGAGCAGCAGGGTGATTCTCCAGGATCTTTAATGATCATTTCAAGGCGCTGTATGCCCGACCTTCTGAGCAAAGGTTTGATCCTGGAATCTCCCCAAGTGTTTACAGATGAAATACTTCATGCATGTATCATTTCTATGCACGCATATTTAGACTCACCAAATAAAATGAAGGACAATAGGAGTCCTGCGATCAGGGTTAATGCTGCTATAGCAATAGCCCCTCCAACTGTTAGATGACAAAACTGACAGGATCCTGCACCTGTAATGATAAAAGCTCAATGAACTGGTTCTTCTTTAGCCTACCTGAGCACTCAAAGCGCTTTATACAACTCACCTCATTCACCCATTCACACAGACACTTTTATCTATGCTCTTTCTGTGCTTTCGATCCAACAGTGGATGAATTACAGAGCAACTCGGGGTTAGTATATAAGGCCATTAGGCTGAAAATAAACATATATTAAAAATACGCCTAAGAGATAATAAAAACCAAATCAGCAATCTGATAAGGAACACACTGACCAGCACAACAACACCAAAAGACCTCAAAAACCACAGAAGATAGCTAAACAGCTTGTGATCTAAAGCATACCATATTATCTCTCAGACATGGTGGAGGTAGTATTATGGTAGTATGGCTGTAGGACTGGCTCACTGGTGTTTATTGATGATGTGACTGCTGATAGAAGCAGCAGGGCTCTACTCTCTGCTCAGATTCAGCCGAACCTGATCAGACGGTGCTCCACAGGGCAAATGGATCAAAGCATGTAGTGCAAAAGCAACCCAAGAACTTCTCAAGGCAAAAAATGTGACATTCTTCAATGAGCTGTCACGATCAACAGAGCGTGCTTTACAGTGACTTGTTACTAAAGACAAAACTAAATGCAGCTGCAGTAAAGGCCCGGTGGGCACCTCAAGGGAGGAAACACAGTGTTGGGTGGTGTTGATGGGCTTTAAACTTCAGGCAGTCAGTGACTGTAATAGATTTTTCCACCCAAATACTAAAAACAATCCATAATTGTAAAACTATGTAAGTCTGTCCAGTGAATTTGGAGCCACTCTAAATGAGGGACCGCGTATAAAAATGTCGGATCTTCTTAAAAATGAAAACAGTTTTTAAACCCCTTCAATTAAAGGTGAAAGTCTACACTTCAGGTACGTGTTGTTTGATTTAAAATCCCCAGAGGAAAAAACTAGAAAACCGGTTTTGTCCAAAATATTGTGGGCCCTTCAGCCGATGAACGCATTGGGAGCGTGGAGGCAAAAATACAGCAAGGAAAAAACTGAAATCCTGTTTCAATCACAAACAGGAGGTCATTTCACTTTCTAGACCACAGTAAGTGGTCCTGTTAGTTTTAAAGAACTTCAATCATGAAAGGATGCAACATAAATGTGCCTCTGATCACACCGAGGCCCATCTCCTTTGCAGAAACAAAGAAACAGATCATTTTTATTTTCAATATTAACTCATCACACGTGTCCCGTTTTAAAGCCTTTCCTTTAATTGCTTTTTTAAAAACTAACCTGCAAGTGTTTCCCGCTTAGCTTCACCGTCTCCGTGTCCTTGTGAAGACTCCATTGCTGCTGCTCGATTGTGGTTTGCTTCAGCAGTTTCGAAAGCTTTTTTGGCTCACGTTTTCTTCTCTCCGATGCTTCTTTTTTTCACATTTACATGCTTATTTTTTTTTTAAATGTGATCACTCCACCCCTTCCTCATATTGCAGTTTGCTTTCTTACTCTGGAGTGTTAAAGTTATTACCGACACACTGCAGAGGAAGCTGTGCAGAGAATAACAGCTTACACGAGAGCGTGACTTAAGTGTTTTTTAACAGGGACCAGCTCACACCCTGGAAGTGTTATAGATGTTACATATGCAGGCGCAGAAGCACCGCAGACATTAAGCTTTGTGTTTGGTTTTATGCCATTACCTGACCTCATAAAACTGCAGTATGTTCGAGGGCATCAGGTCCTCACCGTTGACATATTTATTGTTCAAAAACTGAACAACGAGAGTTGTTTTTTGGAAAAAGGGGAAGTGTCTGCATGCATGTAGAATTAAGAGAACAAGTATACACAGACTGAGTTTTTTTTTTTTCTTTTTTTTACTGTTGATGTTGATAAAATCTTAACAGCTGGACAATCATCAGCAATTATGTGTAATATGATTTATGTTAGTCGACTTGGTATCGTGGAAGATGCTTTAAGGTGTGACGTCAGCCTTACACAAATATCTGTGTTACAGTGACATGCAGTGACAGAATCCAGACCACATTTAGATATTAGAGTGTTTTTATTTAAAACATCCTCGGCGTACAAAGTTCAGGTCGAGAAGAAAAAAAATAGAAGGTGATGTGGAAAAAAAGAACAAATAAAATGCTGATTTTAATAATGATTGGTCATCTACTTTATTCCTATAGCCTATTAAAAATGAAAAAATAAAAATTAATCAATAAATGAATATATCTGCAGGTATAGTAATCACATATCACAATTCTGATCAGAAAAGTCGCTGTACATTTTACTGAAGCACAACTTTGAAGTTTGTATGACTAAATAGCAGGAAATATGAAGTGGCTTATCCTTGTTTCCTTTGTTGCTCAAGATCCCAGTTGATGTGCCCGCCCAACAGCGTTGTGAATTTCTTCTTCAGCTGTAGCAAAACGCACAAACAGAAACAACACAATTAAAACAACGCACAATTGAAAACACAAAGCTGAGACCTTTCACCGAAGCCACAGCTCAGCACACTTGGCTAATCAAAATGCTGCTTATGTCCAAGTGGTGACAGATTCACCTCATTAAATACTTCGTTCCTTGTTGAGTTCTCATCACACAGGAGAGCCTCGGACGAGGAGCACAGCATCGACAGGCTGATTTCCTTTAGGTCTGGAACTGGGAAACGAACAGAGACTGTGAGATGTGCAAACAAGAAAGAAAAAGGCATGCTTCCATTCATGGGTAAAAATTGCATATGGTGGAATAAATACAGCTATGGACAGAAAAATAAAAATCCTGGACTAGCTGGTCCAATATGTTTTCGCAGCCGTCACCTTTTGCTCGTATAGCATCTTGTTTTTTCTTTCTCTCAGTCTGCCAAGCCAGTTTTCTATCAGTCATATAAAAGCTCACACTCACTGTAAACGGTAAACGGTTGCTATATAGTGCTTTTCTACACTTTCTGAGCACCCAGCAGGTGAGCAGAGGCTGTAAGCATGTAAGCATCATGTTAGGTTAAAAAATTGAGACCGCCTGGTGTTCAAATTGAGTAAAAAAAAGAAGAGATCTAAATAAGTACCTTTACATTTATTACCTCCTTTTTTAATCACTTATTTACTATTTACTTTATTTTGCAAAACTTGACCAGAGGGCTTAATTTGCTGATTTTCAAACTGCCAGTCTCCGTGAACTGTTGATCCAGTTTTGATAAGTGGCCTGGTATGAAATGCAATCATCAAATTTCAAATCAGATAATATTAACTCTATCTGTCCTCTACTTCGAGTCTGGAGTTCACCTTTTGAAAAAAAAGTCAAGTAAAAAGCAAAGCTACGTAAAACACAATCATGTTTTTCCTTTCGGTTCCTTTCTGTGGCTCAGAACTTCTTTTTGAGGTGGAAAAATCCAGCCAGGCTAGACAGCTACTCGCTTACAATTCATGGGGAAAGCGCAGCTGTCTAGATCTAATGGAGAAAGTGGCCAAGTAACTTTTTCAAAAGCCATAACTGAGTTCAGCTCCTTAAATATTTAACATCAAATAAGAAATAGCCTGTTTTATCTTGGAAGCAGAAAACTTCTGAACCACAAGTCTCTAATACTCAGCGACAGATCTGTGACTGAGACTTAGGGACTATCCACCAGACACTGATTTTTGGCATTTTCTTATTTAAACTTAATGAACGATGTAAATACGTTGTCCTATTCCTTGCTTTTGAATATCTTTTATTGTCTTCTTACACTTGTTGGCTTTTAAATGGGACCTAAGTGCAGTTTTCACCTCATGTGAATACTGGTGTTGGAACAATAATAAAAGAAGTTCAAACCTGACCCAGCCCATAATCATGCGTGAAGTACAGAAAGAAAGTCAGCAGTTTTCTTCTCACTATTTTCTGTACTGCACAAGCTAATGAGAATCTAAATCCATGATGAAGTCAAGGAGTATGACTCCTCTTATTTCATTAAAATCTGAGCAAGCACTCGGCGATGGTGGCAAGGAAAAACTCCTTTTTAACAGAACCAGGCTCATCCAGGGGCGGACAATTTCCGTGACCGATTTTAGGCAGAGCTTTTTTTAATCTTGATGTTTTTTTGGAAAAGTTTGCAAATCATTCATTAAAGTCTCTTCTCTTCAGTTTCCCATAATAAGGATTATTTCTACAGTGGCCCTGAAGGGTCAAACACACTGCAACTTGTGAAAACACCAGCATACAGGAAAAAAAACTGCACAAGCACACAAAACAAAATGAAACTTTCAATGAAAGTCGAATAAAACACACGGGAAACAGAATAAAACACCACGAAAGCTCAAAAAAGTGCAAGTGACGAGCTAACTCCTACCAAGTGTCACCTATCACGTTGTTAACAGTTTTTCTTCCAAGCTAAGAATCTTACCTGTGGAATTTGCACAGTGTACTGGGGCACTTTCCCGTCCGTCAGCGATTGCGTACACACTGAAATTATAGGTGGTCCCTGATGTCAGGCCAGAAAATGTAAACGTGGTTTTATCAGTTGTATCACTCCAACTGTGACCCCAGAAGCTGGAGTTGAGTGTGACACCATACGTGGGTGATAATGTGTTTTTAGGTGCGTCCCAGGCAAAGGTGATGCTGTCGTTACTGACACTAGTGACTTTGGGATCAATAGGAGGATTTGGCACTAAAATCAAAGAAGATGGAGAAAATTAGAAAGCCATTTCTCATTACTATTTTGCAGTCAAGTCAGCCTGACATAAGAGTAATGAAGTAATGTTTTTGTGCTTTTATAAATCAGACTTGTATGAAATAGATCGTTTCTGCCACTGAAGTTGTTTTTTTTTACATTGACATCAAAATTTTAACTTAGCTCTGCGTGGAAATCTTTTTTCTCAGTGGCGTAACAATCATTCACAGATTTGCTTTTTAGAATAAGAATTGAGATATTTCTGCTTGTAAACATTGGTGGTGGCAACCAAACAACTCTGACCACAGAAGATGACAAAAGTGACTCACGGGTGAACTTGTAGGCGGACACTGGCGTGCTGGTAAATTGTCCACTCACTGCATAGACGGTCACAGAGTAATTGGCAGCATTCTTCAGATTTTTGAATGTGATGCTTGTTGTTACACTTGTTTCGTTTACACAAAGGTTGAGACAGCGCTCGACTGTGAAATTTAAAGCGCTACCAACAGGAGGCTCCCAGGTAGCAGTGAGGGAATCACTAGTTGTAGTCAAAGTCAAATTTGAAATCGGTCCAGGAGCTACAAAACAGACAAGCAGTCAGATTAGAGGCGATCAGTGTAGCGTGGGACAGTTCCCGTTTATTTGTTTCTGTGCATCAACAATGAAATCAATCTGAACAATGAGAAAGAGTTACTTGTGAAGCTGTCGATTATTTTGGTTTCTCCCACCAGGTCTTCGTTGACCCGCACGGTCACATAGATGAATATATGTGTGGCCGGTGGCAGACCTGTTACTGTCACGTTCTGCTGAGTGGACTTTACAGTTGTATTAAACAGGCTCCTGTCACAAAGAGAAACTGTTACTAAAGCTCATACCCAAAACTCCACTCTTCATTTCATCCAGCTGAACATGAAGATCTATTTAGCTGTAATAAGAAGACCTGATGGGACAGTTAACCTCAAAATCAGAAGCTACCTATCACCGCATCATTGTCCAGAAGGAGACTGGTCCAGTGACCAAATCGTGATTTTTGGAAATTGCCGTTGAAACTCTTTCACGGGTTTTTTTATTTCATCGTCAATTTTGGAGGGAGGGCTTTGAACCCTCAAAGACAGGCGCCGTAAAAACGATTCTCTCAGTCTGCCAAGCGAGTTATATTTTAAAACTTTAAAGGTTTATTTATTTCAATGATTAATTACTGAGGAAAATATAAAAAGTCAATGTATATCAATCAAAAACATGTAATAGAAATACATGGAACATTGACAGGAATTAAAATTGACATTTAAAGTCAACATTTAGGGCATTTTTGCAGATGATCTCTCAAAAAAAACAAAAGCTGGGCAACTCAAACAGCAAAGGAATCTAAATGACCAAACACCACAACAGGCTACATATGTGTATATTATTATTTTATTTTTGGCAAACTTCCTATATGTTAATCAATAAATCAAAGGGGTGCAAAACTTTGTCCTCACATGAACTCTGCTTAGAGAAAAATGTGTGTGCATACAGTGTGGCTGGATTTCTACAAATACATACGTGCTATTCGTGTAGTTAGCTACCACACGGATATCTGTGAAGTTTCCCACAGGTCGATCCCATTTGACCAATATCGACTCTTTTGTGTTATCAGACACTGTCAGGTTGTAAACTTTATCAGGCTCTGAAATCAGGAACAAACAGATGAGCACAAAACAGACACATCCACCAGGAAAACTTTACAGGCGCCTCTCTTCACGTCAGCAGTGGCTCTCATTTGCCTTTGCTGATTTGAATTTCATGTTGTGTTAGCAAGAAAGGACAAACTGTAAACCGCTTCCTCGTTTAGGCGTAAACAAGCTTTTCGGCGCCTTTCACTGGTTTCAATCACATATTACACTTCCTGCTACTAAAAGAAGAAAAACAGATATGAATGTTACATGCGTAGCACAGACGTATACGTGACAAAGAATGAGCAAAAACTCACTGGTATACGCTGAGACGTGAGCTTCATAGCTCCATTTAGATGCATCATTGACTCCCGAGACGACAGTGAAATTGTAGGGGGTTCCAGGTATCAAACCCTCAACCTTTATTGTCTCTGTTGTCACTTTAACAAGGGTGGTCTCGTAAGTCAGACGATAGAAATCCACGTTTCCCTCTGGTTTTTCCCATCTCAGACAGACAGAGTTTTTCTCCACAGAACTGACTGTCAGGTTTGTGACTGCCTTAGGTACTGAAAAAAAACACAGATATCATCAGTGTCTCTCTCTTTTATGTTTTTTAAACGTCAGGCTGAACCAGGCTCAGATGGGGAAAGCATAAAGAAAAGAAAAACATAAACTTTGGGTAAACTTAAAATATACCATGTAGTGCAGTAACGGCAAATTCGTGATCTTAAGTGTGATTGTTGTTCTGGGTGTTTACATGATGCTGATCGGGGTATATTATCAGAACTATAAGCAGGTGAACAGGTGCGTAAATAAATCTATATTTCTCACGTCCATTGAAACTCACTGGTGTAGAAGGTGGCGTTCTCTGGGTTGAGGTCTCTTTGACACTTGACGGGGAACACCTGGACCGAGTAGGAGGTGCCTGCTGTCAGGTTGGAGAGGCCACAGGTCAAATCAGTGACGTTAAACCCCCATGTTTTGTTATCCTTTTGACCTTCGACCTCTACCCGATAATGGCTGATATCGCCCGGTGCAACCAACCATGTCAGGTTGGCGCTCTCAAAAGTTATATTGGTGACGCTGACTTGTCCCATGAAGCGATCTGTTTGAAAACATGATGAAGAATATTACTTAGACAGCAATGTGAAGGCAAGGACAAATGCCCCGAAGAGTTGAGGAGGGAGATACTAAAATAAAATGTGTGGTGTATAAAGCTTACCTCCTCTAAATGATTGTTTACGCTACGTGTAATAAAGTCACCTACAGTTAGATCAAATAAGGAATATTCAAGGGCTTTTTTTGGCAGGAAATATAAAGTGGACATTAGGATACAATGTTCTGAGCCTATAATGAATAAAAACATCATATATCTGAATATGACAGAATAAAACTACTCCTATTCTTTAACCTCCTAGGACTCCCAGTCAGCCCAAATAGCAAAGAGAAATTAAAAATGCATGCCATGAAGGAGTTCAGGTCTTAGGAGGTTAGATATAAGAAATACATGAATTTATGGTCTTAACCTGTGTTTGACTGGTTTAGTAGGCCTACTCCTGTCTTGACCCACCACACTAAACAGGCAACTATGATTGTTATATGTAATTTTGCAAAAAGGTCAATCATATACGCCTAAATCTGATGAAGTGGCTAGATCATCACCAAATTGAGGTGATTAGTGTTTTATATGCTCTCAATCAGATTCAGTTAAGTTTTAGCTGCCAAACAAATGGTTTCATATTTGACTGTAGCAAACTTTCATATACAGAGGAGCTCAGAGGAGCTTGACGCAGTGACTGCATGACAAGCTGAATCATCACCCCACCACCACCGTGCTTGATTGTTGGTATGAGTTATTTGCACTGATATGGTGTTTGGTTTAATCCAAAAGAAGAAAGTGGAGATGATTGGCCGTGGTGATGTACATTATAGCAAGAGATCGCCACCTAGGTCTCACCTGTCCTCACGTCCACTACTTGCAGCACTGAGTTTAGACACACCTAAAGTGCTCACAGCATCTGGCTGTAACTGAACCTCTAAATTCCTAAATGGAAGCATTAAGCGTGGCCTTAGTTTTAACTGTAGTATTTTATTTGTGTGATAAATTAGCAGGTATCTGCATCTGTGCACCCATACAGTTTGTGACCTACCTTCATAACAAATAAATGGCAGACGCTCCAGGCAGCTCTTTTCAATCCACGGCCCGAAGCTGAGCATGGCCACACACGAGTCTTCAATGTAATTCTCATCATCACTGTCGTCTTCGTCTTCAGGTTCTTCTGGCTCCTGCACAGGCAACTTCTCACACTGCGCTGTTAATGGCATCTCAGCGGTCGTCCAGGGTGCACTTGTGGTGAAATATGGAGTTGTTCTTCGGGTCGTCATGTTTTCCGTTCTTGTTGCGTGTGTTGTACTTTCGTCGGTAACAACAGATTGGTCAGTGAAGTCTGGTGTGAATTCAGTTGTTTCAGCCGGGTCATCACTCCAACTTGTCACATTATGTCCTGATTGTGTTGTTGTCGTGTGGGGCGTTGTGAATTCTGCGTTTGTAGTCATGGGTGTTGTTGGCCTTGCTGGGCATGTGCAGGAGCAGCTGCAGCACACGGTTTTGTTGGGAGGTTTTGGGGAAGGTTTAGGCAGCGGCCAGCCAGGGTACCAGTTTTGGAAGGCTAGGGGATCCCCGTTGGCCCACTGAGTCCAGTTCATAATGGGGCTGCTGGAGTCACTGTTGTTGATATAGTGTGTGGTGAAGTAGCTTTCTGTGTAGCTTGCAACAGTGCTGGTTAAGTTGCCGGTGGAGTTGTCGATAGAGTTGTTTTTGAAGTTAAAGTTCTTGCGAAGACCGATCCAGTGGTCAGAGGTGATGTCCCGGGCAAGGGCCTGAATGTTGTCTGGAGTCAGTGTCACCAGCTCTTTGAAGCAGGCCTGGCCACACACAAAAAGCTACTGTCAGTCTTTTACAGACGGGCCAAAGACCGGAGAGCATTTCATGTTATGAGATGGTTTTCTTTAACAATTTAGATTAAACTAAATCTATAAAGTTGAGAAAAATGACAGGAAAAGTGCTACAAATTTATATACTAGTAGATTTTGTCTTAAGTCTTAGACCAGTTTTTAAAGTTGCTCACATGTACCAACAGATGTGGCTCATGGCTCTAAACTGCAAGATGATGTTTGATACAGACATACAACCTGTGCTAAAGATATATCCGCCGCATTTAGACACACAGGTAAGCACATAGTCGACACAAGCACAACTAAAATAACTTTTTTGCTTCAATAACCTGGTACGTCAGTTTTGCATACTGAAACCTGTTGCTAGCATTTAGGCTATTCTAAGTTAACAAACAGCTTCTAGTGTAATCCATAACCAAGGTTTCCAAATGTTAGGCAAGTCATGTTCCTATTATTCCTGTGATACAAGTGTACAAAAAGTAAAATTTCCTTTGCCACTACTTTGTAGGTATTGATATCCTTTCATCAAAGGGAACCCAAATCCATTCAGGCCGTAATTGGAAAATATAAAAAAGGGTCTGTTTGATCCCGAGGATGATCTCAAACCCAGTGACGACCACCAGGAAAAGACGTTGGAAAACACTGGTGGTCACCTGTCTCTTAGTAGATACACCTATGGTTTTAAAATCCTATGTTGCCTTGTTCTTTAGTTATCACATTCACAAGATTTTCAGAAAACTTGACCTCTGACCTTGAGTTCACGGTCACTGAGATTCAAACTGAGATTCTTTGTAGATACACCCAGGATATCAATTTCAAACTCCTTTGTCAGTTGCTTCTCGAGTTATCGCATCCACAAACTTGCACTTCCACACCGCCAACCTTTTTTTAAATTCCATATTGAATCCCCTCTCACATATCTGCCTTAGTGAATAAAACTGACGTGGTATAGCTCAGCTTCATGCTTCAGCCCATTAGTGCATAAATTTCAGGTTTAGCCTGTACCTGACAGTAGTTTCGGGCGTCAACCCAGGTGAGATTTTTGCGCTGGATGAAATACTCTCGCTGTGCATCGCTGTACATCGACGTCAGAGCTGAGGAAGGAAACGGCAGGCAAAGGTTTGCTTGTTTGTTTTTTTTACAGGCTTTCCAAGTTATCAGTCAACCAATCAGGAAGCATCACTAGCTTTTTTTCCAGAGTTTTCGCAACGCTGGCGTCATCTTGTATTTGCGCTACGCTTACAGAGACTATAATATCATGTAGTGTAGTGAGTGGAATAACAGAGATCTAAGAAACATGAACATTTTCAGATTAAAATACCTTTAAATGGTGACCATAAGAACACTTTCACACAAACATGCTCCCAGTCCTATTACCCACACTTCAGTATCATCTTTAACACTAGTATTCCAAACATCGTAATTTTTATATTAACATTATTTTATTGTTTTACTGTTATTTCCCCAAAATTATCAGGGTCAATATTATTAGCCTCCATCTTGCTAATAGTCAATCGTGTACCTTTTTTTTCCTCTTTGATTTTCTTGATTATGTTTCTCATTCCAGTCCTTGACACTTGGAAAAAGGTGTCATAACTTTTTATATATCCATCTCCTGCTTTGTGACCATCAACAATTATTTTTCTAATTTCTAATTTTTTTTGTTGTTGTTGTTGTTGTTGGTGGTGGTGGTGGTGGTGTTTGTAAATCGGAAGACAACCCTCAGGTTTAACTTGATTTTACAAAAACTAAGCGTTATAAAGTTAAAGCACAGCACTGAACAGCAGTGGTCTGCATTATGGCTCAATTAAAACATCTGTTTCCACGCAGAATTGAGTACAGGGTGCAGAAAAGCCAAAACGTAGTGTTCCCACATAAGGACACAGAATCTCAGGAGGTTAATAAACTGACAAATAGATTAATTATTGGTCAGTTATCACATATGATGAAAATACAGACCTATCATATTCCTAAAATTCTGGACTTGATGTCTCCTTGTACACTGGATCACAAAATATTTTCTGACATACAGATCAGATTTTTAAAAATAAACTACAAATACTCACCCCAGCACAGAAAAATACAAAATTTCACCTGCAACTTCCCCATATTGGTGCTCTGTACACTTCCAGACTGATACTGTATTAGAAGAAGGAAAAATAAAAAAAAACATAAAAAACAAAGTGACTAAAAAGTCCAGCTAATCAAAAACAACAGCCTAAAGGTGAATATTTGATGGCTCACCACTCACCCAGTCTACAGACGCATCTCTTGTGACCTCTCGGTTTGTGATGCGGGCAAATAAAACAGGTTATAAACCCCACATTTGACTGGTGTCACAAGGCTCCTTTCAACTGTAGGAGCCTTTAGATAGCAACAGTTTTGCATTTATAATCCAGACTTGCAAAGCACAGAAAAATATTTGTTTATGCTGTCCAACAGAACACAAAACCACAGTGATCCTTATCGCATTTATTTTACGTTAAAGCTTAAAGTTACAAGTAATTAGTACAATACAAAAGTGAAAAATATAGAGAAACCCTCTTATACAAAACTATTTTCCCCAAATAATCAAAAACAATAAGAGGAATGCCTTTTAACACATTGTTGGCAGTGTAAAAACTGTTTGGTCAGCGGGGACATCAACATGACGTTTACATGCAAACGTGAGAGCTCACATTCACTTCCTTTTATGAAAAAGGTCCAAAAGGGGAAGAAAAAAAAATTGTTCTCATTACATCTATTTACTGTGTGACTACTCAAGTAACACTAACTTATAACATCAGACACTTGTCTTTTTTTTTTCCTGTAATAAAATCTATACTAAAAGACCGTTAGTTCAGGGGATGATCCAGCCAGCCCCTCATCTACCAAATCTAACGGATAACTAAAAGTAAATGTTCCCAACAACAGGCGAAACAAAAAGAGTGACGGTGAAAACTGATACATCTGCATTTATTTAAAAAAATAAAATAAAAAAAAGCCCCACTAAAGAATGATCAGTTAATACCATGGGTTAGTTCTGTTTTACACAAACACGATTACATATTGCATATGAATCAAGGTTGCGCAGAGGTGGTTGCATTTCCCAGACAATCATGCAAAATATATATATTTTTTTTTTAAAAATGACATTGTGCGACAGGACTGTAGCACAGTAATACAGCAACATCAGAGGCAAATTCCATTCAAGTTTTCCAAGCCTAGCTTTGAACTTTATTTAAATAAACGGCAGTGACTCGTTATGACAAGGATCATTCTTAATCTCACTCAAACCATGCTGAACGGCTCTAACCCAATTACCAACATAGGGTTGTTTTTTTCAAAAACTTTTTTTTAAAAAAAAAAGAAAAGAAAAACATAACTGAACACAAGAGTATGTCAGTCTACAGTGACTGATCAGGCAGTACAGTTTCAGGAACCGTTTAACTGAGGCAGGATGGCAACCTGAAACCTGAAACCTGAAAGAAACCTGAAGGCTGAGACAAAAACGTGACGTTTGTTTTCGAAATTGAGGTGATGGGCATCTTAGTCGCTGTCACTCCTCTCTCCTCTCTGCAGCAGCCTCTTTCCACTGGAGGGTACAGGAACCTCATGCTTCACTGAGACCTTTGACTTGCTTTTGCTGCAGAGAGAAAGCAGGGTTATAAAATGATGCAACATATTTAGGACCAATGTACATCTCAGTGCACTCATCCAAGCTGCTAAACCGAAAGCATAACTTCCGCTTTGAATACCCAAAAGGTTACAGGTAGCACAAACACAAAACCATGGCATGGCCAATTAAATAGCCCATGTTAATTTACTCTATGCTACCTTTGGGTATTCAACACTGGATGCTTCATTTTTGTTTTCATCTCAAAGCACTGAGCTGCATCTGTATAACCCTGAAGTTGCTGCCTGTAAGGAGTTTGTTTTAAATTAGAGCCCTCATGCAGCCATTTCTGATCTCTACATTAACTGTGGACACGGGTTGTCACCCTATACTTACACACCTGATATAATACTGGGATTCACCCTACGTTGTAGCAATGCCACGTTTACAGTAGTTTAAAAGTGCTCACATCAAACAATGTGAAACCAGAGGGTCAACTTTGTTTTCATACAACATGAAAAACAGACACCCGGACCATCAAGACGACACGGCTAATTTATTACAAAAGCTATGTTTCGCTATAGTGTGATCATCATAAACAATACGTAATGTGGAGCTATGCTGGTATGTGCTTCAGTTTACAGGTTGTGCAGCATGGTTAACAACCACACACAGCGACCTCTAGTGTCAGGATTAGGAGACTCCAGGTTTTGATGAAAACAGGATAAATTCTACTACAGTAAAGCCCAAAGGCACACCTGACAACTGGAACCAGCTGAGACCGACTCCCTGTTGTTGTCAGTCTGCAGTAGCTGTTGTCATATCCAATAAAAGTTTCCAGGGTGCCTCCTACCTGTCCTTGTCAAGCAGCTCCAAACCGTCATTGATCTTCTTCAACATCTCGTAACGCTCACGCCCACGAACCTGCGGCAGAAATTAGAGGAAAGTCATGAAATTGAAAGGCTGAGAGAGAATTTCAGTGTACTTGTATGCATATTTACTTACAGGGAGGAGAAAAACCTCCTTGTCGTCCTCCTCAGCACTGGAGGTACATTTGGACTTCTTTGTGGATGTGGTGTCCGGAGGTGGTGCGCTCTCTGGTTAGGAGATATAAATAAATAAATCAGTGAGGTCAGGAAGAAAACAAAACAAAAACTGAAACCAGCATAAACGTACTTCGTTTTTTCGTCTCTTTGGTGCCGCTCTCCTTCTTCTGTTTATTGTCCTCCTCAGTTTTACGGTCCCTGCCTGGACAAGCGCAGACGCGCACCTCGAAGCACCTCCGGCCCAAAACCAGCCCCCTAGAGAAGCACATGCAATGCAGTAAGGGTCAAACGGCTTTTCTGTGCTGCACAAACAAACTGTAAGATGAGACTTTTCTTGAGCAGTTCTAAAGATAAAATAGGCCAAAAACCAAGATGACCTGTTAAACAACATCACCAGAGAAATGGTTTGTGCTGCGCTTCTGGCCACACGAGAGAAAACTGACTTACTCTGGAGTCTCCAGGGTCAGGATGGTGAGGATAGGTCTGCGGTTCATCCCGCCCATGCAGGAGCTGTTGCACATGAAGCTCAGCAGGATAGTGGTCATCTCTGAGCCCAACTGAAACAGGAAAAGCATAAATATTAAAATGTACTGCTGGCTCACGCAACTACAGTTAAAAGGTAATATGATACACATCCAAGGAAAAAAAACCAAAAAAAAAAAAAACCCTTTTCGGCGCTGTTCTTTCCAAAGTAAAAAAAGAAAGACTACATTTTTTATATTATAAAAGTACAACTTATTATATATCAAGTTATCGCAAGATCATAAAAATGAAGTCTCTTTTTTGGATGATTGATTATTATATGTTATCTGTATGAAACTCCACTGAAGAAATGCACACCTGTATAAAAGTGAACGCATTCAACCTATGTGTAAATCGTACCCCTTCCCTGAACTGTGTGGGGGTGTGTTCATGTGGAGAAGAAAAATGTCTGCAGCTCTTGCAGCACTTCATCCATCCACTGACAAATTTAATGAGACCGATGGAGGAAACATGAATGGGTACAAATCAAAGTTGTGTAGAAAAAGCGGAGATGTGCACCTCAGAGTGAACACAGTTGGGCAGTCATACCTGTGGAGGCTCATATGGTACAGTCACACTCTGTCTCTTTGTGTGTAGATCTTCAAAATACTGAGCCCTCTGATTGCCCTCCACTCTGATCAGATGGCTGCGATGCTCCACAGCTGAAGAGACTACAGATTAAAACAAATTGAAATAGTCAGGGATGCACCGACAGTTAGGCAAGACTACATTTACTGTGTAGTCTGTGTTAGTTTTGCATTAGTTAATTATTTAAATATTGTGTGATGACAATTGCAAAGGCTCGTTTGTAATAAATGAAGGGTTTTTTTGGACTCTTAAATAATTTGAAATTTGCCACATTGTTGTCTTGGCATCATCCTTAATGTTCAGATTCGATGCATCCCTTCAATCCACCTCCAACTCTTCTGCTCACAGTCATATTATTTCAACCAATTTGCTTTTTTTCCTCCCCCCCAAAAAATGCTGTAAAGTGTCCCTTACCGTCCTCGTTCTGGTGATGGGGACATCTGCGAACAACATCAGCCACGTGCTCAGTCTTCTTGTACACGGCGGTAGCCCTGAGTACAGCACCCTGAGGAGGCTCCTTGCTCACCAGCACCTCAATGGGACTGGTCTTTGCCAGCTGACAGTACAGTTTGTTGAGCACCTCTGAGTACTTCAGAAAAAAATAAAAATAAAAAGTTTTGTTAATAACATTTTTTGATTCAAATGCTCACCAAAGACCCCACAAAATTGTTTAAATCTTTAATCTCAAACAGAGCCAAATTGTTCAACTAGTCCAGGGGTCGGCAACCTGCGGCTCTTTAGTCCTTATAGTGCGTGGTTTGGGAAAATAAATTAGAAGTATTTAGCTGAAGTGTATTTTATTTATGTTAGTTCTTTTTTGTAGTTCTAAATTGGAAGATTATTGTGATATTGAAATAAAAAAATAAAATTATATTCTATTATTTTTTTTCATTGCTCAAAATAAAAGTCGCACTCGCAGAGGTCGGTGTACCCGCCGAAACGCCGTGCATTTATAGAGACTTTCAACCCCAGGTAGGCCAGTTATGAATCTTCGGATCCACATTGTCAGCAGCTATTCTCCACCGTGAACTACGTTAAAACAAACACCGCTCACGCCTCACAGATGACAGCTTACAGTCCTGCGTAAAGATGAAAGTGACTTCGCACAGCCCCGATTTGCAGACGCTGTGCGCAGAGGTTCGGGAGCAGAAGTCCCATTGTAAACGTATCCCAGCAGACCCGACGATGTTTGCATGAAAACGCTTTTCAGCTTCTCTTTATCGACCACTTTTCACACACGGTTGCTGACGTATACAGACGGCTGTAGCTTTTCAGCTCACAGCCCGACACATACCAACACAACAGCATAGATAGCACAGATGTAGAGGTGGCGAGGCGTGGTTGCCGCTCAGGTGCATCCGCCTCCCTGCAGCGGCACTGCAGACCACGCCCCGCCACACACATTAACCAGGTAAAATACATATTTAGGCAGAATTTTGCAAATATCTATTTTTTATTTTTTAGCAGCATAGTGCTTTCCCCCCCCCAATTATTTTTTTAAAAGTCAGGTCAAGGCTCCAAAAGCCCAAAGGTGATTTAAGGGTGGCGGCTCACAACAGTTTTTCTTTGCTACATGGATCATTTTAGTTCAGCTTTCCTTTTGTTACATTTCTTTAAAAGTTCAAAATGTGTTAATTACATAAATAAAATGTAACTTTGGTTGTGTCCAAATTCATGGGCTGCATCCTCCTGAGGCCGCATTTGTAGACCGATTACGTCACAGCGACGCGCCGAAGGCTGTCCAGATTCGTAGACTCCTCCGACAAATGAGTCCTCCTTTTCCCGGAATTTGAAGGATGGATCGGGTGTGTCCTTCGTGGCCTACCATATCCCAGAATTCATAGCGCGGCCCAGCCAAACTCCAGTTTCCAACAATGGCGGCCGCTACTAAGTTTTAAAATTACTCATACTAATCTTTCTGGGTCACAAAATAAACTTTTAACATATTTTCAGGCGAGAAAGTAGCTGTGTAAACATCAAATATCTGCTCGGTTTATCAAGATATTGCATATTTGCAAAAGTGCTTTGACGTTTTCGGAGACGTCTGCTACCCACCAGCTCGATAGCTAGCCGGGAGCTCGAGGGTTACTGAAGCCGCCGAGAACGGCACAACAACGACTCATTTTCAGATCACCGCGGACTTTCGCTACTCGGGTTAAACGTAATATATAAGTCACTTAGACAACCTAAAAATGTGTTTTGTTTGTTCGTGAGTAAATCTGTTTGGCTGAGATTAAAGTTATTAGATTAGATAAAATAAAACTTTATTAATCCCCCTCCTCCTTGGTTTTCACACAGCTGACTAAACGTCAAAACAGAAAACTGATTAAACAGAAGTGTGAGACGGTCGAGAATTTACGCCAGTGTCCTGTTATATTTTAGATAGCAAGGAGCAGACGGCTGAGTTTATTAAACTCCACCGAGACAGCGGTGACGCTAATCAGAAGGCTAGACCGTCCAATTTCCCCAACCGTTTACTTCCGGCCTACCCGACCTTCTGAGGACCCGGCCCACGTAGACCGCGAAGGCTGGGTCCTCAGGAGGATGCAGCCCATGAATTTGGACATGACCTTTCTCTGTAGCACTTCATGGATTTCATAAGCAACACACCTTAGTTGTTCACACAAAGCATAAAGGTAAAAAACATTATATACAGTTTTATCTTCATTTTAGATGTCAAAAAGTATTTGCGGCTCGCAGTGTTTTCTTTTGCGTGGAAACCGACTCCAAATGGCTCTTTTGGTGTTAAAGGTTGCTGACCCCTGAACTAGTCTTTCGACTCTAAAACAAAATAATCCAAAATTAAATACATTAACTTTTCTAAGCAGCAAAGCAAAATAAACCAGAATAAAATTTTAACCCTTTCTGTTCTGAGGGTGCAGGAACATGTCCCGTCATGTCAGAGCAGTGCTTTGCAAGCAGAAGGCCCTTCTCCTGCAGACCAGAGCAAGTGGTGGGGGTGGCGGGGGATTACACTGCAGAGCACCCTAACTTAAACTGAGCTAGCCAACCACATTGCACTACATGGCGAGTCACTGAAAACTTCAACACTATTGGCTCTTCAAATGCAGCAACTGACTGTGGAAGTTAAATTTCAGCGAATCGTCACAATGAAAAAGATTCCACATGAATGGCACAATGACCGATACCAAAGAATGGATTTTTAATAAAAAAGGTAAGATGTTTTTTTCTTCATCTTAAAATCAAGGAATAACTTGAAAGCAGTGACTTTACCAATTTAAGACCTTTTCATTAACAAGCCTCCACATTTTAAACTCTATATGAGAGTTTAACTTGTTTTATTAAATTAAAACTGTTATAAAACAAATAAAATATGCCCTTCTGCATTCAAAAAAACCAAAAACAAAAAGAACAAAACTAAGTTCAGCAACTGCTGCCTAAACTAAAAGCAGCTCTCAAAGTCTTCTTTATCTGTGAGGAAAGCCTCAAAAAGCAGCTTTCTGCTCCATGTCATGTTTGGTTGCAGAATAATCGATTGAGAGCACCTTCAAACTTTACATATATAATGAGTCTTGCTTTAATTACTTGGATTCAGTTAAAATACCCATCATATTAAAATTCCTGGTGAAATTTCTGGTCGTTTGTTTCATACCAATTAAAACAGATGTAAGACAAAGAACATTTATCATCCTGTTTAAGGAAAAAAAAACAAAAAAAAAAAAACACAAGTACAGTTATAAGATTTTCCGAGGTCAGATGAACCATAACTTACAGTTGAGGTCACCGATTTTGCCGTTCCAGACTTTTGGAATCTGAGCTGAAACCCACATTCACCAGGGTAATCTGTTGTGACTGGAACAGTGGAGGCTGGAGGTGTAACACCATCTTTTTGCAAAGCATCATTTGGCAGCTCAAAGAGATTTTCATCGAAATGTTCAGCTAATTGCTGATCATTGATCAGCTGAAAACAGACAAAGGGAAGTCAGTTTGCTTCCAAGAATAAACATGCATGTTGAAGTCACAGGAATCTCGACAAATCTTTAAAGATGATATTCTGCATAAGGTCGGGTAATCACACCTGAAACATATCCATGGTGCCATCTGGCCTCCAGGTTTCATCGTGACCGGTACTGCTGTTCACAGCTGAAATAGTGTCCAAACTGACAGACAGAGATTCAGCCACACTGTAGGAGTAATAATTGCATTTAAACATAATAATAATAAAATTAATGGAATCTGGAATGAAGACTTTACTCACGGTAGCTGGTCCCACAGCTCTTTAAATGAATCCTGGCTGAAGGGTAGATTCTGGCTCAGCTGTAAATCCTCAAAACCCTGCTCTGCCATAGTTTCTCCCCCTCCTTTCCCAGTGGTGAAGCAGGCAGGCTGTGGATATCAACAGGAAATGAGCACGGGAGATTAAGTTAATGGAGGTATGCAACAACTCACATCTCCTACAAAGTCTTAATTTAATAGTTTTCCCACAATTTTAATGAAAACAAACTAAATATAGCATTCGTTCGACTTTTTTAGAGAGAAAAAAAACACTTTCGCTTTATTATTGTTATTATGCATTTATTTATTTGTTGTGGTCGAAAAAAAGAAAAACAAAAGCCGTAGAAAGAGCAGAGAAAAGCAGTTTTAATTTAAATTATTAAGTTTTGTAAACAAAGATCGCCGTAAAAACAGTTTCTGCGGCACAGGAAATGAGTTCAAAACAATCAGGCCTTTGACTCGAAGAGCTGCTGACTAGCCAAGTCAACTACGGTTAGCTTAAAAATAAATAGATTTTATAAAAGCAAGAATAATAAGAGAATTGTTCCTTAATAGCGCTTTTAAAGATCATTTAAAGACTAGGCCAACTTCTGCCTTTGCGGCCCAAACAGCCACTACGATTAGCTACCTTCCAGTAGTAGGCCGACCTTTTAATTGAATGAAGCTAGCTCGTCGTTTCACGTATGGCCACCGTGTCGACGTCTCAACAGTAATAACACCGCGTACACACTTATTTCGAGTCAAAACGTACCCCGAAGTAAATAAACACTGTGCATCCACAGCCCGACTCACATTTATAGGTTGAGGTTGCCGAACTGCGTTAGCATGACTAGCTAGTTACGCTAGCGTGACGTTCGGTTAAACGTTAGCTAGCGAAACTGTCGTAAAAACTTCCCCGTCGTATAAATGTCACTCTCGGGGATTTGCTTTAGTGTATGAGGCATGTACGACCACTCGGGTACCTTAAGCGTCCCACTGGTGAGTCACAGGTGACTGCAGAGAGTCAAAACCGCCGTCAAGTCAAAATATTTTTCTGTGAACCAAACACGTTGTTGAGGGGATTCCCACAGAAAGAGGAGGAGGGGCTCTTCTTAAGAGTTAGCTTGTCCAATCGCAGAGCTGCTTTTCTGACAAAACGCAAACGAAGCGATGACGATGTGTTCAAAACTATCGTGAACACGGCACCGTTCGTAGGAAAAGCGATAAACTTGGTCAAAACCTTGACCTTATAATGGAAAAGTGTCAACGCTTTCATTGATGTGATTTGGTTTTCAAGAGAGATCTCAATAAATGTATCTTTAATATATATTTATTTGAATAAATCCCACCAAACACATATTGTACACTAAAATTGCGATTGCAGTGTTTAAATACTTTCCAAAGTTATCCAAATGTAAAGGCTAAGGCTACGCTATGGGCCAATACATTTTCAATTGTCTTGGTTTTAAGGATCATTCCCTTCTCAGTCAGATTTCTCATATTTTAAGGTTTTCTGATGAGTATTTGAATGTGACATCATGACATCATAATAACAAGGAGAGAGAAACGAGTGGATGTCAAAGTACAGTTTAATGCTATCCGTATGTTCAACTTACAATTAAGAAATACTTTCTTTCTAGTCTAACAAATGAGGAGAGCGTGTTTAGAAGATGGAAGGAACACTCTGAGGAACTGATTAATTAAAGAAACTAAGGCTGAAGTTAGGGTTCTTTTTCAGAAACGGATCATGTCTCTTTTTCACCATAAGTTGCTGCCACCTCTCTACCCCTCCTCCTATTGCGGTGACGTAATTTACATGAATGCCTCTGCTCACTCTCTTCATCTGTTGGATTCTGTCTATCATGGAGCATTAAGATTTACAACAGGTTGTAAACCTTTAACACACCACTGTACTCTATATTTTCTGGTTGACTTGTCCTCAATGGCCTTACACAGGATGGTTCATTGGTATCACTTTATCTATAAATCTATTACTGGTTTACTGCCTTATTATTTAACAGAGTACATGTTACGCAAACAGTTTAGTCAATCACTAAATGCTGTGCTTTTCAAAAGACGTACAAATGTTTTGGTGAAATCATCACTGTCTAATTGAGTTTCAATGGGACTACCTGTTGCACAAACATGGCATTACATACAGTGTGTTTGTATGTTTCTCATATCCCAGTACATTATTTGTGCTTAAAACACACTGACTACCTGTGTAATTAAAGGTTAAATTTAAAAGAAAACTTATATGACTGTACTGTGCCAAATGTAAAGTTAGTGGAGGAGGGATTATGGTGTGGGGTTGTTTTTCAGGAGTCTTTGGGAACAGTTTGGGGATTGCCCTTTCCTGTTCCAACATCACTGCACACCAGTGCATCAAAGAAAGGTCCATAAAGACATGAATGAGATCTTTTGAGGTAACTTGACTGGCCATCACTGGCCATTCTGACCTCAGCCTAATTGAACACCTTTGGGGTGAATTGGAGCGGAAACTGTGTGCCAGTGTGTGACCTCACAAATGTACCTCAGGCAGAATGGTCAGAAATTCTCATAAAACAGCCGTAAACCTTGTGGAAAGCCTTTCCAGAAGAACTGAAGCTGTTATAGCTGCAAAAGCTGCAAAAGCTGGGCTGGTCAATTGACTTTTTTACCAGCTTGAAAAACACAGTCTTTTCAAGCAGAGATGTAGTAACTACAGAGGGATAAAGCTGATGAAGGTTAAGAAGTGAGGTGACGATGAGCAGCATGGTTTTATGCTAAGAGGGCTATGATGTTTGCTCTGGTAGTGTTAGTGGTGTTACAGTCACTCCCTCTAGCAGCTCTCCTAATGTTTGAGGGCTTTTTCTCATCCTTTCTGCCTTATTGCTATAGCTGAGATGTGTTGCAGCTCGTTAGCCACTGCATAAAGACTGCCATCTCAAACTGCCTTTTTTTTGTTCCCTGGGATCTGATCTGCAGTGATCTTGTCTGTAAGTGTGTAACCCTGTGTGGCTTGGTGTGACTTATTTGTGGGTAAATCTGTACATTTACAAAGGCAAGTTTATTGGTTCACAGTGGAAGCTCACCTCTGGCCTCACTTCCACGGCTTGAGCCTTTCTCTTGAGTCCACCAATCCGAGTGTTGGTACAAGCTTAAAGATAGTCTTACCTTCACAGGGTTGACTGTGAAGGTAGATTCCCCTCCCTGAGCCTGATTCTTCCAGAGGTTTCTTTCTGTTAAAGGGGAGTTATTACGTCCCACTGTTGCCAAGTGTTTGCTCAAAGCATGTCGTTTGACTGTTGGGGATTTCTCCATATGATTGTAGGGTCTCTAGCTGACAATATAAAGCACCTGAGATGACTGTTGTTGTAATTTGGCACTAAATATATGAACTTGATTTGGGATACTTAGGGTTTTTTTTAACTGACTGGCTCTATATACTGCAAAGTGGTTAACGCATGCTTGAATTATAACCTAAAATGTTAGGGAACTAAATAATTACATATTGGCGAAGTGTGTTTTAAGCATGCGAACACACTGTATGACATTCCAAATTCATCAGTAACTGCACAGTACTGGATCAAAACAGCTGGCAGTTGTAGTGTTAATAAAGCTACTGTATGCTCCTGCGTGCGTCTGATCGTTACATTCATTGAGGTTTAAACTAGAAACACTATGAAATAATCTCCCTCATAATCTCTCCTAACAGACCCGACGATGTTGCCTCTCATCACCCATCATGGACGCACCTTTGCCAGCGAGACGAACAGCTGCACCGACGGGCCTCTGGGGCTGCTCTCAACCTCTACAGCTGTGCCGGAGGATTTGTGTCACGCCGCGGGACTCTTGCATGATCTGTCAGAGAACGCGCTGTATGTTGGTCGCCGTCCATCTCTCCGAGCGCTCAGTGATTGCTGGTGCCGCTTTGGGGATAGGTGGCCGTTTGACCTTTGAATGAATGCGCTGATGGGGGCCACTGAGTCCACTCTGGATCAGTTCCAGAGAGCATATAGATACAACAGTGAGGTCTAATGCAACAGCGCAACGCAGATAGGGAGAAGACTTGTGGAGGATTCATTCACAATGCTGCAGCATATTAACTGTTCTGACTGCGGGCTCTTTCATTAAAGAAAGGTATACACATGGATGAGAGTTACTGTTTCGTTTATAAAACCTCACACTTTTTTTTGCTAATATTTTAATTATAATAATATTATAATAATATTTTTTAATTTTGCTTAGTTGGATGTAATAAATCCTTATCCTTAATCCTTTATGTAATACAACATCGGGGTTGTTAAAGTGTACTTAAATCTATTTTTGCTGATTTGGATCACATTCTTTCTACCCCAGGACGGTGACACGTAAAAAGAGACTACTCAACCAAAAATACATGTGTGGTATGTGAACGATAAACTCTATCGCTGACGTTTGTTTCCAGTCTTTTTAAAATCATGACTTCCAGGTTTTTTTATCCCAAGAAATAAAACGAATGTTGTAAAACGAATGCAAATGTTGTTGCCTGTCACACACCTGTCATTCAATCAGCAGCTCTATTTGCAGTAGCATGATTTTGAACCAGGTGACCTCACCAACCACTCTCTCTCTCACACACACACACACACACACACACACCCATACATGCCTGTGCATGCATAAATAGGTCACGACAAGGAGGAACAGTATTTACACACTGGGTTAGTTGGCTGTGTCACGTGGTGTTTGAGTGCGTGTTTGTGGTTGTGCGACTTTTTTTCGGTTGGATAACAGTAAAACACACACGCAGGTGACACTGTGACATTAAAAACTTTAACTCCTCGGCGCTTCGCTGAGTCTGTGAGGTGTGTTTGTACCGATTTGCCCGTCTTCAGCCTTCCTTGCTCACTCCAAATGAATTCATGTGATACTTTTTGGCTCTGTAATATCATCATCTTAATCCCCCCCGGTTGCGTACATAAACCCCTTAACTGTGCTGGAAGAGGCTCTACGCCACTATTCCGATGGTGTAAAGTTTCTCTGCATTTAGTCAGAGTCACACATGACTGTGCTTGGGGCCCTGGCTTTGGATGAGGGGTGTCGGGTTCTCCCACTGTTTGAGGGCAGCAAAAGGCAAAGGAGAGGGCAGCATGCTCTGACCAGAGAGTGGTGTGAGGTGGGGGTGTGTCTGTGAGGGGTGGTCATTGGGAGATCTAGAGTAGATTTTGTTTTTCCACTGAGCTTGCTTGCAGGATCTCCATTCCTCCCGCCCAATGCAAAACCCTCCCACAACACACTCCCTAATCTACGCCTCTGGTCCCTCCCCAAACTTTCCCCCTGACCACACCTACTGTACACTCCTAACTCAGGTGGCAGGGCCCAATTTTAGGGCCCACCTGTTGCCTGCTGGAAGAGGATTAAGCTTTGTTGTGTGCAACAGAGAAGGGAGGAAGGGGGGTTAAATGAGGCTGATGACCTCTTTGGCATGTGATCTGAAATAGAAAGGGATTTGTATCTGTTGGGAAGGCAGACAATGGCGACCACAGCGGCAAAGACGAGCCCCCTTTTCACTTCCCATTGGGGAAGTTGAGTCATAATGGTGGACTCCGACTTTTAGGTCACCTGACATTTAACATCTCCACAACTGTGTGTCCTCCATTTGCAGGTCCAGAAATGAGGTGATTAACCTTGAGCTGTCAGTGATAAGGGAGAAGCATCTTTGCACATGCTTTGCAGATTGAGTTTATCGTTCTTTTGGGAAGGGGGGGGTCTATGGCCATTACGCAACAAAGCTCATGAAAACGGTCCAAAATGAGACCAAATTTGGGCCTCTGCGTTGCTCTGGCTTACGGCTCCAGAGAATGATAAATTATTGTTGATTTAAACAGGAATCTGAAAATGTAATCACACCTTTTGTTATTTAATTCTTTATCTCTTAGCACCATAATAAAAACCAGACACCTCTTCTAAATAACCCCACCCCCACCCTCCTTCCACCACCACCTCTTCGGCCCAAGATAGATTAGGTCAGGAGAGCTTCCCGCTTGCGTCTTGACCTCTGTTGCAGGGCCTCTCTGCGTCTGCCTCCCCCCCACCCACCCACCCCGTCCCTCCTCCTGAGAGGCGTGCACGTGGGTATGCCGGTG